GCCCCCCCCCCCCTCCCCAATGCAGTGGGTACAGAGTGAGTGCCCTCTGTCCTTGTTCTGACTGACACCTCCAGCCTGAGGAAATGTATTTAGGTCCCTCCCAGATTTGTTCCAGTACCACATGCCTTGGAGGGTTGTTGATGGAGGTTATTGATTGCTGTAGACCTTGAGTGACCTTGTGACCAAGCAGCATGTTACAGGGTGGGCTGTGGAATGTGTGTTGTGACAGTCACATGCTGCCAAATAAAAAAAAAACACACAAGACCGTGAACTCGTTTGTCAGGAGTGACGGGCCGCTATGATGTTGGTGTGTACAGAGTGGCCTTTGGAGCTGGTTTGTAAATATGAAGAAACCCTTGTGCTTTTTAATCCTAACGGCACGTCAGACCCTTTAGAACAGGCATGTGCTTCAGGAGTGTTTTCTCCTTACCCCTGTTTCATTTTCCCCACTTTTCCAATGTCCAACCCAAAAGTTATTATGATGTCTTCCTGTAAAAGCTTAAAATCAATTGCTCCCCCCCATCCAGCAGCCATTTCCCGATTTTTACTGTCACACCCCACAACCTGGCTGAGGGGTGTGTATTGAGGGAGCTGCAGTTCCTCAGGGTCTGACCATTCAAGCTGACACGGGGGACAACCTGGAGGTGTCAGCCATCTGAACGTCACTGCTGGACCTTCCTGCAACCGAGGAAGGAGCTGGTTTATTCTCCCTGTGCCACGGAGGGATGTCCCAGTCAGGAACGTAAACATGGACAGACTGAGGGGACAAATGAGCTTGAGATACCTTCTTCCTTACCATTCTGACACATGTTGAACGTCCCTTCTTTTTTAATGTGCTAGGGCCAGCACTTATTGCCTGTCTCTAAATGCCCTCAGTTATAAGATTCAGAAAACCCCTCCTATTGCTGCTGATATTCCACTGAGAGCAGCAGTACACATCACAGCTGTCCTCCTCTTAATACTCTCCCCCTCGATTCCTGTCACAGGGGCTTGGAGAGGAGCTTACAGCTGTTGGTGGTGCTCCCATGTATCTGCTGCCCTTGTCCTTCCAGACGGAACTGGTTGTACGTTTGGAAGGTGCTGTCTAAGCAGTCTTAGCAAATTACTGTAGTGCATCTCAAAGACAGTGGCTGAGAGAGTAAATTCTGAAGTTGATGCCTGGGGTGCCAGTCGAGTGGTCTGCTTTGTCCTGGAAAGACTGAGATGATTGTTTAGACAATTGACACCTTTTTTCCTTTTGCTCCAGGAGTTGGCAAGTGCCTGTTCTGATCTCAATGGAGAGTCATCCCAGATTGACTCTCTGCTCTCGTCCCTTAACGGTGACCAACAGTCAGACACTACGCTGAAAGTGTGCGGCCTGCATAAACTCGAGGTAATGACCCTTTGCAACCTCAGTACCTCCCAAAACGCTTTCCAGCGAAATTTAAATACGTTCTAAAAGAGTTATTGTCCAGGAAAGCTGCAATCACTTCGCACCCAGCCAGCTCCCACAAACACAGACGTGGCATCGACCAGATGAAATTTGCTGATGATTTAGGAATAATATCGGCCCGGAATATCAGGAGAGTATCCATGCCTCTACAAAATAGAATTTCATTCAACAGGAGGGAAGAGGTGGGACCTTATTGTGAAGGTCTTATTGTGAAGACAACTCTCCTTAGAGACTGGAATGTCAACAGAAGTAGGCCATTCAGCCCATCAAACCTGTTCTGCCTGATCAAACACTGAAAAACCTTTTACTTACCTCATCCCCATAACCCTGTGCCCCACTGGTAATCAGAAACCTATCAATCTCTACCTTAAACATACTTGGAGACCGAGCCTTCTCAGTCTTCTGTGGCAGAGAATCCCAAAAATTCATCACTTCTGAGTAAAATCATTTCTCCATATCTCAGACCCATGTAGCATCCACCTTCTGTTTAGACTCTCCTCCCCTGATTTTAGACACCCCAACCAGGGGAAACATCTCAACTGTCTATTCTATTAGGCATTTTGTCAGTATCAATGAGATCACCCCAGATTCTTCGAAACTCTACAATCCCCATTGGCTCAATCTGTCTCGACAGCACACTCCTGCTATCCTGGGACCACATCTGATGAACGTCTCCCTGGAGAGTTAACTACTCATTTAAGCCTCAAATACCAGTTATCATGCACTCTAATTAAGGACATAGGACAGATCCACATTAGACAGGTGGTTCCCCATTTGTCTCACTAGACTGGAATTGAGAGCTGTGTGATGTCAGAGCTTCCTCCCAACATTTAGTCCTGGGATGAATCAGAGAATCCCTACAGTGTGGGAGCAGGCCATTTAGCCCATTGAGTCCACACCAACCCTCAAAAAGCATCCCCATCCCTCCCTGTATTTCCTATGTCTAACCCACTTAGCCTGCACACTAAAGGCGGATTGGCCATGTTTAAATGGCCTAAGCTGCACATCTTCAGACTGTGGGAGGAAACCCATGCAGACACGGGGATAATGTGCAAACTCCACACAGACGGTCACCCGAGGGTGGAATCGAACCCAGGCCCCTGGTGCTGTGAGGCAGCAGTGCTAACCACTGAGCCACCTGAGTTGCACTTTCATCCATTAAGCTTTGGGAAGACAGAATCTATTGTCTTTACCAACAACAAAAACAAAGTTGCTGGAAAAGCTCAGCAGGTCTGGCTGAGTTCTGAGGAAGGGTTACCGGACCCGAAACATTAACTCTGATTTTTTGTCTTCACAGATGCTGCCAGAACTGCTGAGCTTTTCCAGCAACTTCTGTTTTTGTTCCTGATTTACAGCATCTGCAGTTCTTTCAGTTTCTATTGTCTTTACCTCTGTTCCCTCGGCACTAACTGTAACATCCTCCCAAGCCACCAGCTGACACAGACCATTAACAACTTCAACGTTTGCCCTTGACCTGAATCACCCACTTACTGCGAAGGCTGCCTACTTCCCGGCTCCTCCTAAGCCTCTTTCTGTGTGTTTCTCACTTTTGTGCTTTTAAAACCTCAACACCAACAGATGTGTAGAAATTAAAAACAAAAACTAAAAAGTGGAAAATTTAAACTTAAAAATTTTAAAAATTAAACAAATTTAAATTTTAAAAATTAAATTTAAAATTTAATTTAAATTTTTAAAAATGTAAAAAAAAGCTTGGTATTTATACAACATCAAGACAACAACTTTGAATTATTATAGCAACTTCAATGTAGAAGATTGTCTCAAAGTAACAAAGCAAAAGTGGTGGTTTTCAGATAGATGATCAAGTGTTTGGGAAGAAAGTGGTGGGTCCAAGATCATCTTAGGAGAAAGGCTTAGGGAGGGATTCTGGAGCACAGGGTCCAGGAAACTGAAGACTTTCTTATCCTTGTGTTCACATCCTTCCATGATCTCACCAGCCGGACCTCTGTCACCCTCTTCTAGCTCCAGAGAGCTGTCACCTCAAAGCCTCTAACCCCTCATCACCTCCCCTTTCCCAATACCATTGGCATCCTCTTCCAGAAGGTTCCAGACACATTAAAATTGCCCATCGGAAAATTCAAATTCCCAGGCAATTTTCACACAGTCTGCTGCATCTGGGATTCCTGACTCTCCACTTCAGTCTTCACTGTTGAAGCAACTATGAGGTCACTGTTCTGTTGAAGGTTGTATCTGTATGGGTCTATTATTTACATTTAACATTTTTATTTGACATTAACTGAAAATCATGCATTCGCTGTGCTGACCTTTAAGAAAAATTCAGTATATGAATAAATCAAAATCGGTTCTTAATCTAAAAAAAAATTACAGGTTGGGAAAATTAATGAATGCTTTCTTCAGAGCAAGCGGTTTCTGTTTTGCGTGTTTTTGTTTAGGCCATTGTTTTTCAGGAGCATACTCAGATTGTTGGATAGTGCCCATAACTGAAACTGCGAACTCTTCTTATTGTCCATTTTTTGTCTCCACAGCAACCTTTGATTCTATGGGTGACCCTACAATACTGGAACTTTAAGGAGCACGCAAAGCTGGAAGAAACGACAGCAGTGAACTTGGGACACCCACTGGTGGCACAGCTGGAGCTGTACAGGACAATGCCCAGTGCGACCACCACCAGCAGCAGTGGCACTAACCAGGACTCTACATCAGTGCCAGACACCACTGTGACAAAGGACACAAGCAGCGCCTGCAGGTCTGGAACACGGATACCAATCAATAGGAGAGAACTCCAAACATCACTCAGCCAAGCCAGAAGGTCCAACCAGCCAGAGGAAAATGATGAAAGTGAAATATCATTTGGGGATCGGTAGCACATCCTCCTCCTGGTGAAGTGAGCGGATGCATCAAACTCTATTCGGAGTGTGCCAGATATGAAATATTTGTAGGTATGCACTCAGCAGTAATGATCACACTTGGGTTAGATTCTTATATTCACAGTAGGGGGTGCTGAGCATCTCCTGGTTCGTCCCTGGGTCTGCTGTACGTATTTCAGTGATGAAAATGCAAGCCACTGATTTGCATTGAGGGGCCGAACGGCCTCCGGCTGTTGCTGATTCCTTTGGTAGTGTGAAGCCTGTGCTAATTTCGCTGGCAGTGTGCCCAGTCGGACACTCGCTCCTGAGAGATGGAGCAGCATGTTCCTGGGTCAGGCTGGGTAGCTGTTTGAGTCCCTGCTGCTGGTGTTCCGTTTCACCAGTGTCATCTTCATTGGCCTTCCCTCTGACTCCGATGGGATTCCAGCAAATCCACGTCAGGTCTGTTGGAAAGGGACTCTAATGTCTGGCTTGACAACTTTATTCTGGGAACCCTCACTGCTGCCCAGACATAACTGACCCACATTCTTGCAGCTCCTAAATGGTTAGTGTTCTCATTTATTTCACCAAATTGATGACATCTAGCGAAGTCATTGTAACTAGAGAGTTAATAAACGCTACCATCACTTCATCTAACCCTGAACTGTTAATACTACTTGTATGTGTAGGAGCACCAGTTTGGTGATACAAGAGACATTCATACAGTCAACTGGTATTAGCAAGAGTTTCTGGACTTTAATGATCTGGTGCTCAGTTTGTCCAAAATGCATTTAATCTGGGTAGTGCAGAATCGCAGTGGCCTGACAGCACAGAAATGGCCATTTGGCTCATCATGCCTGTACTAGTTCTTCAGGCAAGCATCATTACCAATCTCCTGCTTTTTCCCCAAACCCTTGCAAACTATTTCTTTCCAAATAGTCATCCTCTTGAAATGCCTCAATTGAACCTGCCCCCATCACACTTTCCAGGCAGTGCATTCCATTCCCTTTACTGATTTAAAAAAGATTTACCTCGTAACACCCTTGCTTCTCCTGCAGACCACTTTAAATACACTCCCACTCCTTCTCGTTCCTTTTGATGAGTGGGACCTGCTTCTCACTATCTACAGTGTCCAGTCCGCTCATGATGCTGAAAACTTCTCTCCAATCTCCTCTTGGCCTTGTCATAGGTTGGTCCAGGGGTTATGACTCAAATGGTAATTATTTGGATTTACCCCTGCAGTTGTCTGTGTAGTCAGTGCCTCAAACCAGTGGAGGAACATGCTCAGCAAAGGCTTTCTTCCACAGGGCAGGGAGTTTAAAGACAGAGAGTCTCACCCTTAAGAATTTTGACATTAGCTGGAGAAGCAACATGTTGGTGTTGTGTTTAACGTGGTGCATCTGATGGGGTGAGGAAATGAATTTTATAAATAATATTCAGAAAGTTGCTGGTAGTTAGGTAATGTGTGGTGCAGAGCAGGAGATAATTTGAATCTGTTCATTGAAAAATCAAAATCTTTTCTCCCCTAACTATAGTACGCAGTGACATTAAATGTTTCTGCTGATATTCCCAGTGATACTGGGATTGGCAAAGTTCTGGTCAAGGTGATGAAATGGGATTAGAAATGAAATGTTTTAAATGTTACCTGGATTGAGATTAAGAGCAGTGCATGTTTCATTGGCTGGTGGAGTGCTAATGCATTCTCGACAAGCTGTAGGATCTTTCTTTAGATTTTATTAGGTCCTGTTTATTTTTGTGAAGATGTTATTTTTGGCGATGGCAAAAGTTGTGAAGCTAGCCAGTCACCAGAAGGCTGGAGCCCTGCCCTCTGTTACAGTTCTCATTCCCCACTTGTTTGTAACTGGAGCCCTGTCCATGCAATAGCTGGTGCCATCAGCGAGTTTAAACATTTGAACAGTTACAAAGAATTATCAAGATATTGAAGAGGTTTTGTTTGTTTGAGACAAGCACTTGTTCTGAGTCAGAAGGCATTCTTCTTGAGGTTATGGTGGAGAATTGTGAAGCAGGTTGTGGGCTCATTAACACCCATATATCCCTTGGTTCCTGTGGCAAAGTGCTAGTGTCCCAGTCTCTGGGCCAGAAGGCTTGGGTTCAAGTCCCACCTGCTCCAGAGGTGTATAGTAACATCCCTAGACAAAGTGTATTTTTTTTAAAAAGCTGTCTCCCACCAAATGCTAGCTTATCACCATGAAGGTGAAGCAGTGTGTTGGAGAGAATTGGCAGAGTTCAGTTAGAGAGAATACAAGTCAACAGAAGGGTGTGGCCAGGCAAAATATCAACACAACACAACTCACACAGACATTAAAACACCCTCTGACATAAAACTCTGGTGCAGATGAATGCAATCAGATTAACCCTTCCCTTTAACATAGAAAATAGGAGCAGGAATAGGCCATTCAGCCCTTTGAGTCTGCTCTGCTGTTCACTATGATAAGGGCTGATCATCCAACTCACCACCCTGTTCCCACCTTCTCCCCGTATCCTTTGATCTTTTTAGCCCCAAGAACTATATCTAACTCCTTTGTGAAAACATGCAGTGATTCCATAGGCTCACCACTTTTTTCTCCCCATTTCAGTGCTATCCTTAGAGTGTGACTCTAGGTTCTGAACTGCCCAATTATTGGGATCACCCTTGCTGTGTTTACCCTGTCTAATCCTGTTGGAATTTCCTGAAAATGAAAACAGAGTGCAGTGAAAATTAGGCAGAAGACCAACATTCCTCCACATCCTGACCAACTAGATTTGTTTAAAATTACCCCCACAGTGGTTTCAGCTGGCACTTTCTGTGATGTTATTCCAGCTCCTTCCCACTTGTGAGATTCATTATTTCATTTCCTGTCATTCGCTCCCCAGTCCCCCCCCCTCTCCTTAAATGAAATGATTCTAGAAAATTGTGGCAAAACAAATGATTCTTTTGAAACAGTTACTTTTTTTTTAAGGAATCCTGTTGAAATTCATTCTTACTTCTTCATCCCTGCCCATTGCCTGTGAGCTCCTCCAGCCTTGCCATTCCCCAGTGAGCTGTCTGATCCTATTGCTCTGGGACCTTGCAGCATCACACCGCTCACTGTAGGTGGTGCATGGCCTCTTAGCTCTCTGTGTCTCTCCTCCTTGACAATCCTTAACTCCACTTTCCTGCTTTTTCCCCATGATGCGAATAATGCCTTCTGTAACTCAGTGTTAGAATCTATGTGTTTGGTTAAACTCTTGTGAAGTGCCTTGGGAGCATTTTATTACATTTTGTTGCTATGTAAAGGCAGGTTTCTGATACAAGTTGTTTGGTCCCCAGCTGCCTTTTCATCTAGGATCTGAACTGTGGTTTGTAGATAAAGCAGTCCTGCTGTGATACAACCACCTTGATCAGGAACAGCAGCTTCAAATGCTGCTCTCTGTATTGTCACAGCAGGGGGCGCTGTATTTGGGCATTGGCTTCACCAGGCGAAGGAAGATTAAAGGGGCTCCTGTATTGATTGCTGTCTGAAGGTGCATCTGCATCCAGTGAGGCCAAGATGTGGTGCTTCCCAAAGTCAAGTAGCCAGCGTATACACTGCTGTCGAGGCTCATGTGAACTTCGATCACCCAGGTTAGGAAAGGGTCTGCAAAATTGTCCAGAGTGAAGACTTTGAAGGGAGAAGGAAGTGTGGAATAACAGTGCAGGATAAGTCAGATATCAAAGTTGTATTTAAGTTTTACTTGAATTTGTATTATTTTAACGTAGTATTTAATTATTTGAAATGTAGAGTTGAGAATATTTTATTATTTTTGTTATAGTAACACTGGAATATTAAATTACGTTATTTCAGTACCTGGTTTTGTCTCGTTTCATGTGTCCTGTGCTGTGATTTAAGGTGTTGTTTTGACCAAGCACACTGGGGTGTGTGGGTCTGCGGAGTACTAGTATACAGCTGTACTGGCCATTGCTGGGAAAGGTCTGTGTGCTTTATGGAAAAGGGGCATACCTTAGAGCAATGTGGCAGACAGGGTGGCACACAGAGTCAAACTTCACAGGACCACCCAAGGAGTGCTCCTCACCACCTGATTTACAAATCAAATTTGTTGACTTTGAAGATATCTTTATCAGCTGCTGGTGCCTGACAACCTCCCTCTGTTACCTGTGTGCTCTCCTAGCCATATCATGTCACTGTGAAGCTGAGATGAAACTTGGAAGGACTTCATTTTGCCAGGGTAACACCAGCAGTGCATAGTCGCAGTAATGTGTACCATCTTTGCAGTGCAGTAAGTCACAAAAGCTCCTTCAACCTCCCCTGCAAAACTTGCCATCTCTACCATCCAGAAGAACATGGGTAGCAGGTACATGGGAACACCACCTACTGCAAGTTCCCCTCCAAGCCATCCACCATCCTGACTTGGAAATATAACACTGTTCCTTCAGTGACATTGGGTCAGAATCCTTCCACTGTAGATGCCCCATTGCGCGCCCCCTCCCCCTCAATGGACTGCAGAGGCTCAAAAAAAAAGCCATTCGCCACCACCTTCTCCAGGGTAATTAGGGATGGAACATCACTGGGCAGGCTTTCATTCATTGCCCATCCCTAGTTGCCCTTGGGAAGCTGATGGTGAGCTGCCTTCCTGAATCACTGCAGTCTGTGTTCTGTTGGCACATCCACACTGTCGTTAGTTAAGTTGTTCCAGGGGATTAGCCTAGTGACGGCGAAGGAAAAATAGCAGATTTCCAAGTCCTCACCAGTGATGCCCACACTTGATGAATGACTGAAAGTAACATTTGGGGTGTTTTTCCGAGTATTTTGTTGAACTCGCAGACATCATGATGTGAGAGTCACAGGAGTTACTAAAGATTGATCCAGTTCTCCTTGCACCATCGTGAACATTGCATGATGCAATACTAATGGAGTTGTTGAACAACAGCAATTAATCTTTGTATTTAAAGGAATGGACCTTTTCTCCTTACACCATCTTCCTTGGGATTGTGTTCAGTCACTGGAATATATTTACGGGGAGGTTCTGCTGAATTTCTTTCTCGGCTTCATCATGACCCCTTTATATCAACATCCTCCAAAACCCATGACCTGCCACCACCAAGAAGGAAAGGACAGCTGGGACATTGGGACACCATCCCTTTCAGGTTTCCCTCTTAAGTTACACACCAATGTGACATCATTATTCCTTCACTGTCACTAGGCTGGTGCCCTGGAAATGCTTAAATGACAGCATTGTGGATGTGCCTACAGCATATGGACTGCAGTGCTTCAGGAACGCAGTTCACCACCACTTTCTCAAAAGGCAACCAGGGACGGGCAGTAAACGATAGCCCAGCCAGTGATGCTTACATTTCCCTGAACGAGTAAAACAATTAGGAATGAGCAAAAAGTTTCCTGTGCACTGGTGGTAATGTGGGTCTGTGGGTCAGAAACTTTGAGTCTCACTTCAGGATGTGCTGGCTGTGGACGTGTGTCATAACACAATCAAACAGATTGATGTATTAAAAGTTGCCAGGTTTTCTGGCAGTTTCCATATCCCAGGAATAACTGTGTTTTTCTATGAGAAAAAGGTTTGCAATTTTTATATATTAATATTGCTTATTTTTGAAGAGTTTGAATTTCAAACTAGTGGCACGTAGACGGTTCACCTATGTTTCTGAAGGGATTTGAAAATTGCCTCGGTCAGTATCTCTGGAACCATAGAGATAACAAGGTGTAGAGCTGGATGAACACAGCAGGCCAAGCAGCATCAGAGGAGCAGGGAAGCTGATGTTTCGGGCCTAGACCCTTCAGAAAATCTCTGGAACCATGTTTATTAAACCAGTCTTTGTCTCCTGGAATGTTAATGGAAGTTTATTGATACTGCTGGGTTTACAAGGAAAAGAACACATCAAACCATTAGCTTTGCAGAGTCTAGGATGAGCAAGTTTTTATAGTTGGTCAATTTGAAGAAGACCTGAGTGGGGTCCGAAGCAAGTATAATCTCTCATGAAGAAAGGGGATTGAGAGCAGTTGAAGACATAACTTACTTCAGTAAAAAAGGGTAATTTGTGGAAGTTCCAGGATTTTATGATGCCAGCTGATGTTACTAACGGACAAGTCAGATCCAAGAATGAAATTTGACTTGATAAGATCACATTTTTAAAACTACAATATGGTGGCCTTTCACTGAA